TAGTTGTTCCCGCTGACTGGCTCGGCCCTCATCCCCACCGGGTGCACCTGCTGGTGGGCACCGGTCAGCGGCCGCTCTCCGTCGCCGAGGGTCCTCGGCTGGTGGCAGAGGTGACCCCCAGATGCAGGCCATTCTCCAGAGCATCACGCCAACTCGGGCGGAGGGAGTGCCACCAGGGCTCTGGCTTATCACCCAGAAGTTAATCGACTCTCCTTAATGTTCCCAGCACGTGCCAATCAACCGGCTGATAAAAACGAGATACACCATGCAAATAGGGCAACCGGTGCTGCCCGCTTGCTTGTGGCTCACCACAGAAAACGCCCTTTTCCGGCGTGGCTCAGTGGTTGAGCGTTGACCTCTGAACCAGGAGGTCACGGTTCAATTCCCCATCAGGGCACAGGCCCGGGTTTCGGGATTGATCCCCAGTGTGGGCGTGCAGGAGGCAGCCGGTCCATGATTCTCTCTCACCATTGATGTTTCTCTCTCTCCCCCTCTCCCTTCCTCTCTGAAATCAATAAAAATATATTTTAAAAAAACCAGTCTCCCAGGTGCGGACAGTAACCACTCTCCACGTGGACCAGCTGCTGTGTGAACTTAGACCTTTCCCAGCTCACACTGGGAAGGAGACGTGGAAAACAGGGGCAAGTGACATAATGGGCGTCTTTCATGAGGCCCGAGTGTGACGGAGGCACTGAGGCCGGCGCTGGAGACTCAGGCTGGCTCGGCCGGGCAACCCAGGCAGAGCCCCACCCCCCCATCTGCTATATCCGCCGCGTCTGAGTGCACCCCTCACTTGGGGGAAGATCAAGTCCGTTTCATTCTCGTGTGCAGAGCTCTCTGCTGAGTGTTCCCTTAGCCCCGGCCAGGAGCCCGCCCACAGCCCGGGAAGCCCGGCCAGCTCTTCAGGCTCTTTTCGTGGTGACTCACCGCATGTTCATTCACTTACTTTCAAGTCACCCCACAGGCATGCGGGAGGCGCTTTTCTAGGAAAACCCGTGGGAAACCGAGACACAGGGCCTCCCTCCTCCAGAGCTCGGAGCCTCACCGAGGGCACCGGCTCTGCTTGAACCAAACTGTGTTCTCTGCGGGAGCGCATTTTCCAGAAAGTGTGAGCTCCGCCTACTCAGAGACTCGCCCCAGACCCTACTTCCGGGAGACACTAAACACAGCGAAGGAGCTGGGTTCTGAGTGCACAGCAGTGACCCATGAAGCACAGGATTATGGGCAAGGTCGGTGGGACGATGCAGACGTGGTTTTCGGAGGGCTCACACGTGGCCACGTCTCCCGCTGCTGTCAGCAGAGCCCTCACCGCGGACTTCACCCCGTGGAGGGCCTGGCTGTCGTGGGAGTAGATGGTCCTCGGCCGTGGACTTCACCCCGTGGGGGGGCCTGACTGTCGCAGGAGTAGATGGTCCTCGGCCGTGGACTTCACCCCGTGGGGGGCCTGGCTCTCGCGGGAGTAGATGGTCCTTGGCCGTGGACTTCACCCCATAGAGGGCCTGGCCTTTGCGGGAGCAGATGGTCCTCGGCCGTGGACTTCACCCTGTGGGGCCTGGCTTGTCGCAGGAGCAGGAGGCCTCGGCCGTGGACTTCACTCCGGTGGGCGGGGCTGTATTCACTGAGTAGGACTGTCCTGTGAAGCCGGCAGCGGCAGAGCTGCTGATGGGATCGTGTTCAGGTTTGAAATGATTTTTAATCTGACTCATTTTAAAATGAAAGTGTGTCATGGTCTCGCTGTCTCCTCTTATTTCTTTAGAGAAATCCCTCCTCGTTACAGCCGGTGCTTGGTGCTCGTAAGACTTTGACTCGCGAGGAGGCTGAGGCGACAGCCAGGCCAGTCCTTCAGGTTGTGGTGGTTCTGTTTTACTTGGGGAGCATGCTGACGGGAGCCGGGGACCGGGAAACCAGGACGGGCTCCGCCGGGGGAGGCACCGGAGAGCCCAGGCTCCCTGGGAACTTAGAGGAAAGGGGCCTCGCAGACAGGCGTGGGGGTCAGCCCCGGACGAGCTGCTGCCTGTGGCTCCCCTGGTTGCAAGTCTCCCGGGGCCGAGAGGTCAGGTGATGCCTGTTCGCCGCAGACACCGGCCCTCACGTCGCCTCGTCCCTCTGAGCCCAGTGGTCGCGCGCTCCACGCAGCCCAGCCGGGGACAGGGGCCGTGCCTCCGGGAAGTTACTAATATAAACCCCAAACTTCCAGCTTAAAACCTGGACACCCTTTTGCTCCCTTTCATTTTGTCTCTTGAGTTTTAGAAATCAGTTAATTAAACCTCTCAGGGCGACACTGATCCTTTCGGGCGCGGTGGGGACCGTCCGGACTGCGGGCCGCACAGGGCCAAGAACATGGCTGGCCTGCCCCTCAAGGCATTGCGGTGAGTTAACTACACGCCTGACAAGCAGAGCAGCTCGTGTCTAAGCTGGTGGTTTTGTGTGGCCGAGCGTGATGGGTACACCTCCCATCTGTGGACAGCCAGGACTGCCGGACCTGCTGTGGGGCAGGATCTGAGCTGCACACACTGACCATGTGTTTGGAGCTGAGAAATAAACTTACTTTGTGAAACTTAAAAACAGACACAAGCAGCACTAGTCTGCGGTGACAGAAACCAGGAGCGGCTGCCAGGGGCCGAGACCCTTCGGGGCTGGGAGCGTCGGTACCTTCACGGGAGGGGACCCGACTCCCCACCTGAGGCCTGTGGGTCTCACGGCTCGGAGACCAGGTTTACGGTCAACCTACACGCGGACTCTAGGACTCCCCGTCCAGCGGTGAGGGGACGGACAGCACGGAAACCCCAAGGCCTGCTCAGAGCTCCTGCCCTCGGCTAAGCAGGGCTCCTCTCCCGCACGCAGCGCGGCTCCGCCTGCCCCGGGACAGGAATGTTCGGGAGTTGCCTCTCCTGGGATGGCTTTTCTCCTGCCCCGCGCTGCCCGGTGCTGCCCCCTGAAGGGCGCTTCCTCCGAAGGCCACAGAGCCCGGCTGCCCCGGTCGGCGGGTGATCTGTGCACAGGCCCTCACTGCACGGCCCATGTCCACTCTCCGCATCGGTTCCCATGGGAACTCGCCTGTGTGACCTGCTGGCTGCACACCACGTTCGGTCACCGTCTCGGCAAACACCGGACCGTGGAAGAGGCAGAGCCTGGCTCTCCCCGGTGGCCGAGCCCATGGTGCGGCCCGGGAGCCACAGGCAGGCAGGGGCCTGGGCTTGTTAAAGACACGCACGCTAGGGCCACGGACCCGGGGGAAGGGTACACGTGGAGTTCACGGGCGGCTGGACACGGAGGGCCCTTACTGCCGATTCCCACGCAGGGCCCCCGGCGGTCCGTGTCCGCACAGGCCAGCACCTCTCGGGCAGGCGGATGGCGGGGGGAGAGAGCAGTGTACGTACCAGGTCCGGCCTCACGCGGTAGGTGAGGGGCAAGGAGAGGCAGGCGGAGTGCAGGGTGGTGGCCACCGTGGACAGCCAGGACTGCCGGACCTCGCGGCTCCGCGGGATGCGGTGGAGGAAGTACCGCGGCACCTGAGGAGGAGCACAGACCACGTCCGCTCAGTGACTCTCTCTCCAGCCAGACGACGCTCTGCGCAGGGAAGGTCACCCTCAAGGGCTGCGGGAGCTGGAGACGCAGCGGAAGTGCACACCCGCCTCCCCCACCGAAGTGTGTGTGCGATTCCTGGGGGGACACCCTCCATATTGATGTTTGAGATTTGCAGCAAACGTGAATTATGACGCCCGTAACCAGGGAAACCAACGCCCCTTCCCGCGTCAGAGTTCCAGGCGCTCGATACCTTCTGCTGAGCGACAGCCCCCGACACGGCCCTCGGTCCTGGGGTGCGGACAGGAGGCCCGCCGGGCGCTCTGGGTGGGCCTCCTGGTGGGA